GAAGCTCAGATAGAGAAGAGAGCACCAAATAAAGGGTGTTGTGAGGATCCTCCCTGGGTGGGAGAAGCATGCTGAAAGTAGACTATAGACCAAACATGATTGCCACTCAATGACTCTCTTGCAAAACACAGTACCCAAAAGAAGAGAGAGAGAACAAGGGGGAATGCCTTGCCACAGAGGCAGGGTGGGATGGGGGGGCTGGGGGGTGGGAGGGATGCTGGGACCCGTGGTGGTGGAGGATGGGCACTGGTGGAGGGATAGGTACTTGATCAATGTACAACTGAAACCCAAGCACAAGAATCTATAAGTCTATAACTGTACCTCATGGTGTTTCACTAATTAAAAAAAAAAAACATCCTGCCTAAGTGGAGGGGAGGTTTGGTGTTTCAACTGAAAGATAAGTATTCCAGATGTACTTAGTGCACAGAATTAAGAAGACTCAACATTCAGATTTTTTCCGGAAGGCAGGAGGTACCTGGTGGCAGTCCTCACCAGAAAACTGAGACAGCAGCCAACCAAACTGTGCTCTGCCAACTCCATATTTTACTGGGTCCAGGGTCCTGTTAGATTGTTCAGATACTGTAAACATTCTAGCGGTACCATTATAATACTTGTTTTCCTTTTAGTAAAATAATAGTATCTTATTTATTCCTGTCAAGTTTAAGCAAAGGACCCATCAAGTCACTCACTGTTTACACCTAGTTTAACCAACAGAGTTCCTTAAATTAGAATTAGAATCCGGTCTATCTGACAGGGAAAATAAAACAAAACAAAAATACTGGCCCATTCCATGTAACAACTGTCCAGGCCCACACTCTGTAACAAGAACGTCAGCAGATTTATTTTCCCCATATAAAGTAGAATTTTCAATTCACACCATGTACTCTGACTATTATGGACAGTATTTATTCAGCAGGAATGCTGTGCAAGTTTGGGAAAGCTGTCTCTAAGCAGAGCTGGGAGGTCATTTGACAAAACAAAAAATAAAACCTATACATGGTCAAAACATGAAGAGAGCTAAATTTTGTCACTCTTGTAAAGAAAAAAGTTTTGTAATCCTTCAAACACAGTGTGGTAATAGCAAATTAGACAAATCTCCCTCACCCTCCTCCACTCTCAAGCTCTATAATAATCAGACGCCTCCATTCACTTAGCAAATATCAGCTTTTTTGGAGGAGGAGAACCTGCTCAGAATTAATGAGGCGACACCACAAAATAACTTCTATTAATAAGTTGTTCTCTTCTACGAAAATTGCCTACTTTTCCTCACTTAAAATCAGAACATCTTCTAAAGGCTTCTCACGTACCACTCTTGACCATCTCTTTCCCCCATTTCCCCCAGTGTTAAAATTAAGAAATGTCATGGTGCCACATAGGAGAGCTAAAGCCATCTCTCAATAATACCGTTGAATCAAATGCTATTGTAGGTACAGTAACATTCAGCTGGTGTGTGACAGGACATACAACTCCTGACACCTTAACTCAACACAGCTGGGTGTTTAAAGGAAGAGTTTCAAGAGGGAAAACTAGGTGAAGGGAAAACAATTTCGAAGTTACAAACATACAATACACATTTTGAAATAATCAAACACACTGTTCCCTTTTTGTTGCACAAAATGGCTAATGCCAACTAGCTCAAGAAAGTTAGAACATTTGGGAAATCTTCATTTTGATTTTTTCTTGTATATCAAGAAGAAAAATCACACATTAACCTTCCCAGAGAAGCACTGCACATTAAAAGCAATCTTTTCACTTACCCTAGAGCATGTACACCTTGATCTCTTGAATCCTTTTAATTCCAGTACATCCAGAACATGTATGAATTCTTAGCATATTCATTTAAAGAAGAAATGAGCCAAATGGCTAATTATTACAGATCATAACAAAGCTCTCTGAAATTCTAGGGAGAGATGGGAGTTTAGAAATCCAGCTTCTAGATCCTGGTGTGTACTGTGTCTATCTTTAACTTGAAAATGATTTGGTTTCACATTCCATTGAAGTCCCACTGGCAGATGCCTTTGGTAAGCTCACCAATGGCAGGCTTTCAAACACCCTCCCTCTCCGCCCTCCTCCCTCAGACTGAGCTTCCGCTGCTCCATCTAACGCTGATTTACTTAGCTGTCTTTTTACCTGTCTTTTCGCGGGTAAAAGGAGATGCTTTCACTGACGGCTATTACGGAAACACTTGGAAGTTGAAGATCAGCCCGAGGACTCGCTGTGCTTTCCCTCTGCCATCCCCTCCCCCTACTTGCTGCCAGAAACCAACTGACTTCCAAACTTGGCTGTCTGAAAAAGAATGTTCTCTGATTGGCATTCCTGGAAGCAGGGAGCAAAGCAGCTCAAGTTCTGTTCTGTAACTCAGCATGAAAAACTTCCCAGGTATACGTAACAAAAAGAAGTGAGTTTTCTGTATTATTATTATTATTTTTTATGCCGAGTAGAACGGGGCAAATATTTGGGGGGCATTACAAATAGTTTGGTGGTAGCACTGCATTTAAGTTTCAATATTCACAGACAATTTTGCCCAAAATGGCTATTGAGGCAGTAAAATAAGGGAAATGACAAATCTTTTCATAAAAATTGAACTTTTTTAGTAATAAATGTGTTGGGACCCATTGGAAGCAGAGACAGAGGGCTGCTTGCTGGCCACTGTTCTGAAGGGCTGCTGCAGCTTTGCAGTGACAGACAACCGTACAGTAGGTCTTGTGGTGAAAGATTTTTATTAAATTAAATTATAATCATATTTTTTTAAAAATTTCAAACAAAAGAATGGGTGCAAAAAAAAAACCCAAAACAACATTTCTCCCTTCCTATCAAATATTCCTTCCCAGGACTTTCTTGCAAACCTTCAGTGTGAGGATTAGAAAGGAAACACGTGTACAGTGAAAAAAACTGTTGTGAAAAGAAATGAGGAATCCCACATCTCATCAATTGATATTTGAACAAGAATCAATGAAAGTGGAGTCCCTTAAAATCACTACTAATAAACTTGTGCTGAATATTTATTTTGTGATTAGGAGGGTCAAAGGTCTGTGCTACTGAAAGAATTTTCCTACTGATGTCCAAAGAATGAGTTTAGTACATGCAATTTTACTACATGCAACTTCTTTAAAGCATGGTAAAGGATTTATAGTTTTTGTAATCAAATGAATCACCCAAAGCATTTTGGAGTTACCAAATTTCAACTGGCTGTGGCTGCCAACTCAGGCAACTGTCAGCTGGCTGAGCCCGTGGCAGTGGTGTGGCCACAGCTGCTCCCTGTGACTTGTAGGGACATCTCAGAAATATTCAAAGGCAAAGGTTGATATCCCAAAAAAAGCATTCTTTCTGTTTCTTTGTGGTCGGCTTTAAAATTTCAGCTCTAGGTGGTCTTTCAACACATCTGAAGAACACAACTTAAGAGAATCAGTAGTGAAAATCTAAGAAACGGAAATCTCATTAATTTATTTCAGTAATTTTTCATGTTCCGTATAGATTGGTGTTCCACCAGCTGGCTCACTCCATAACCTAGAGTTAATTTTGTGTGTGTGTGAGTGTGTGTGTGTGTGTGTGTGTGTGTGTGTGTGTGAGTAAGACAGAGACAGAGAATGTGTGTATTTTTTTTTTAGGGGCATCACCCTGTAGTGTTCAGGGAAATTCCTAGTTCTCTGCATGGGGGTCATTCCTGGCTGTGCTCACCATCTGTGGTACCAGGAATTGGACAGGGTTCAGGTCAGATGCAAAGCAAGCACTAAACCACTGTAACTATCTCTCTGGCTTCTATTTTAAGGAAATTTCAGGCTACGTTCTAAGCTGAGAAAATGGGGCATCTCAATTACTTCAAAAATAAATAAAAAGAAATAATCAATCACCTAGAGGGCCTATGTCAATGGCCCTATAATTCTTTTTTTAATCAAAATATAACATCTGTAAAGGTAAATGGATAGTGTCAAACACATGTGAACTGATGACTGGGAGCAGGCCATCTGATTCACATTGAGTCACACTATTCACTTATGTGGCATCTTTGACTGAATACTATTCAATAATTTACATCCAGGAAGCATTTGTTGAAACAGAAGAACTTTTTTTTAATGTGTATATTTAAACCTATAGGAAAATGTTATACACTAATTCACATTTTTCATAAATATATTTTACTTTGTCTTAATGATTATTATCTTTTGGAGGGGAAAATTATTCTTTTTTCACATTGTTAGCCAAAAGATACATGGAAAGAATACAGAACACCCTTAAAGACAACCCCGCCTTCTAGAATCATGATATGTTTTAGGTATGACTGATTGATTTTAAATTCTAACATAGAATATACTTCTAGGAACATTTACGATGATCTTGTTAGGATCTTTGTTTCACATTAATTAGTAGCACTGTCCTCCCTATATTGTTCACTGATATGCTCGAGTGGGTACGAGTAATGTCTCCATTGTAAGACTTGATGTTACTGTTTTTGGCATATCGAATCGCCAAGAGGAGCTTGCCAGGCTTAGCTCTGCGGGCGGGATACTCTCAGTAAATTGCCAGGCTCTCCGAGAGGGCAGATGAATCAAACCCGGGTTGGTCACGTGCAAGGCAAACACCCTACCCGCTGTGCTATTGCTCCAGCCCCATTAATTAGTAAACAGTAAATTTGTTTTTATTGAACTGTCACTAGCACTACTTACTGCAACATTCATCTATCAAAATCTTCTAGATTATCTACACTTAAATTTTTATTTATACCAATTTTCATTAAAATTCAACTGTCTTCAGTCAAAAGTTAAGTGAGAACAATGGATTTATTTTCTGTCTTCCTCCTCAACCTTCATGAGAAAACTGATAAAATTTATAATGACTAGAAGTTAGTCTTTATCATGGTAAATGTTATTTTTCTCTTTCATAAGTGCTAAAATATCAAAGTTAGTATTTGATCAGAAGAATTATCCAGGGCTTGCTTTCAAAGGAATCTGGGCATGTAACAGAAAAATACAATATTCTTGATTTATAAAAATGCAACTAACCTCTAGTGTGTCTTCCAGAAATAGGTCTTATATGAGCATAGATCTTTGGATGCGATGTTGATAGCACAATCCTCACAGCAGTGACAAGGTTTTCAGACTCAAGTCTTAACTGAGCTGCAAGGCATCAATATATGAAGAATTTGGTCATTAAAAAGTAATGGTCCCTGTAAATTTTACTCACTCTCATCCTTAAGAGATTGGCATATGTTATTCTTAGTAATGGCTTTGCAGAAGACTTAAAAAAATTTTTTTTTGCAGAGCAGATATTTTAACATGTAATCTGCTATTGGCTAAATATTTTGCCACTTGAAACCCATACCTTCAAGCCCAATATCTAATGTGCCTCTAATAAAAAGGCCTTTGGAGAGATGATTGGCTGTGAGGATGGAGTCCTCACTAATAGTACTTTATAAGAGCTCACAATGGAGCAATAAAGGTTCTTAAAATAAATGGTAATGGGAAAACTGGACATCTGCATGAAATTGAATTAAAACAGAGCACTATGCAACAACAAAAATGAACAAAATATGTGGAACAAAATATAGACCGTACACTATTGGATATTAAGTTTAGAAATCAATTTGGCCATTTGATTCAAAAAGGTAGGAAACAAAAGTGAAAATAACAATACTGTATCAAACAAAAAAAATCTCTACGGTGAAATGAACTTGATCCAAGATGAAAATACATCTTACTGAATGTCAAAATATATTAGCACATCATACATTTGGCTAAGAATTAATATCCCAAGTACATCAAATTCTTACAACACTCAACAGTAAAAAAACAACAAAAAACCCAATCCAGTTTAAAAATGAAGAGATTCTAAATAGTCACTAACCAAAAGAAGAGTATTTATGGGAGATAAAGGTCCGACATCCATTATTAGAGAAATGAAGATCAAAACAATGAAATATTACCCCACACCTGTTAACATTTCTGTTATTTCAAAGATAAGAAACAGTGTTGCAATGGATGTAGAGAGAAGGGAAACTTCTATATTATTGGTGAAATATAAATTGGATAATTATTATGGAAAGCAACATGGAGATTTCTTTAAGAAAGTTAAAAAGTTCCATACAGATGAGCTGTCCCACTTCTGAGAATTTAAAAAAAGGCCTTAACAGAAGTTAAGGCACTTACCCTGTACCACATATGATCAAGATCCATACCTTGAATATAGAGTGAGGAGTAAGCCTTGAGCACAACTTGGTGTAGCACCCCCCAAAAACAAACAAAAATACAGAATACTAATTTGAGGCCAGGTGTGGTCCAAATGTCTCCCCCTCCAAATAAACTGAGTAACTTTTATATGATGAAAGTACATAACAAGTCATAGCAAAACTAGATAGTCTTGTAGTTATTATAATCAAATGTATTCACCTGAGAACATTTTTTATGGCTGAATACATGGTCAATCATTGCTTTTCATACTTGTTTGCTGACAATTTGTTCAAAGGAAATAGTTCAATGACAAGGCACAGCCCCTTTAGCAGAAACTCAGGCCTGAGGTCTGTTCGTTGCCTCTTTCTATAAGGTAGTCCCTATAGAAACCTCCAGGATATAGAAAAACACTCTTTGAAAAACCATTGAATTCAATGCATTCAATTAAAAAAAATTTATATGTGAAAAATACATGTATTTTAATGTACTGGGATGACAGAACTTAAAAGACTGTCCTAACCTTTGGTGTTAGAACATTGTTTGCCTAAAACCACTCTATTATGAACAACTTTGTAAACCAGTGTCTTCATGAAAATTATTTTAAAAGAATGTCTCATCCTTACTACCTCTTTTCTCACCAATGTATCCAGAAGCAATCACTTAGAGGTTGTTGTCTATAATGATTACTCTATGTTCTTTAAGTGATACTTTCATACATATATTTTCTTTTGATGTTCTAAAATTTGATGCTATCTATGTGCCTTCTATTGAAGATAAACAGTTCTTAAATACAATTCCTCCAGCATGTACATATTCAAAATCTTTCTCACTCTTCCTCATTTACACACACACACACACACACACACACACACAAACACACACACACACACACTGCTCCCTTTCCTTGATCCTCCAAACTTAATTATATGGTGATCTTAGATAGAGTATATGTTTACATCATTTTGACTGTTCACATGCACGTTACATGGGATTTATAATTATACTTTCCTCGTTTGACTTTTATTTTCCTGATGTTGGCATTGAAAGTGTATCTTTGCTTAATATTCTATATGCACCAACATTTTCACAAACCCTCCAACAGATAGGTATAATTCTTTTTAATACAGCCTCTAATACCAGTTGTATTTGTACAGCACTCCCTGCGCACATCAGTTTTGTAGCAAGATAGCCACTGAGCTGTAATCCTGGGATTCTCCTTTTCTTCTATTTGTCTTAGGTCCTATCCCTGGATTTTTAATTTTCCTTCTTCCCAAAGGACTTGCTTATGGCTTTGCAGGGAAACATATATTTTAAGAGGTTCCTGAGAAAAATGTTGGACAAATAAGTCTGGGGGAAAACTGAGTGCTTGAGTATACCTTTATTATTTTATTCATCAATTGCTAATTTCACTAGCTATGGAGTTCATTTATAAGATAAGCTTTTCCCTCAAAAAATATCAGAGTTTCTTCGCTGTCTTTTAGCTTTCAGTATTGGTAGAAATTCTTCTGCTCCTGGATCAACTTATTATGTTTATTATATCTCTGATGTTCAAATATCTTATGACAATATACTTTGGTAAATATTTTTTCCTCCACTCTTTGTGTCTAAAACACAGGGGATCATATCACCCAGTTTAAAGAAAACTTTGTAATATTTTCCAACCTTTTCTGACCTGCCTGATATTCCATCCTAAAATTAAACTACCATTAGCTGCATATTGGACCTCTTAGGTGTTATCTTCCAATTTTATCTTTTCCCTTTCACATCTTTTCTTTCATCATCTTTCATTCATTCCTTATTTTTCATTAATCTTCATTCCTAAAATTTACTCCTTATCCCTCATCCACTGAATATTTTATTTCTGCCAACATATTTCTTATTTGTTTCTGATAACACTAAGATTTATTTCATAGAATGTTTTTTGCTAATATCTATGAGAGTATATATTTTGCTATTTTTTTAAAGCTTCCATCTCTTCCAAGCAGATGATTTGTTTCCTCAATTTCTTCTGCTTCATCTAATGTTCCTTAGCGATTTGCTCCTGTGATCTATTAAGGTCAATGGGAGGTTATCGTGAGGCAGTAAGACAAAGTTGAGTCTTTTCACTGAAACATCCTCAAAGGTAACTGATTTCTTGATGCAGTCAGAGCTTTCAAAGAAGTCACCACCCCTCGTCTCTCCCCATCTTTTCTGTAGGAGGGGCAATAAGATTGCCAGTGCCCTGGGGAGAAACTGCAAGATGGAAGGAGGACTTTCCTCCTCCTCTGCATGCACCTAATCGACCAGATTCGGTACCATTCCTAACTCCCACTTACCACTTTTTCCAATACTGGTGAACTTGTAGTCTCTCTACAAAGTCACTCCAGAAAATAAAGACTTCTCCCCACATCTCCTGAAGAGAAAGGGACCAGTTTTCAGGCTTCACAATGTAGAAGAGCAGATTGGGGGAGTCTAACTGTTTGAAAGTTATGTACCCTTTTCCATTTTCAGGCCCAGGTCTCTCCCCTACCTTCAAAAGAACTTGGTACCTCCAGTCCTTGAGAACCTTTCTGGGGCTTGCTGGGGAGTTTCCCTTGGCTTCTCCTTGTTATCTCTGCAGGCACCTGGGCGTTTACAAATCGGCTCAGCAAAATCAAGTACCACTCATCCATTCCAAAAATACTTCAAGAGCTCTCCGATTTTCTATGCTCTTCCTTGTTCCTTTAGCCCGGTATGTATTTTTTTGTTTACTGTTAGTATAGAGTTTCTTCAGAAGTGAGGGGGTGGAATTAAGCATGTTTCATCCACCATAATAGCTCTAATACAGGCTTTCACTCTTCAGTACTGCTCACCACATCAAGGGTGCAAGAGGAGGTGGAGTGGGAACATAACGACAATTAGATTGTTAAACATTTGCTAATAATGGTTTCATGGGTTAGAGTCTTGTGCCACATGGAATTTACTCTTTTATTTTATCGGAGGGGGGGTGCTTCCAAGAGATTTTCAGGGGACCTTTGGGGTCATTCCTACTGATACTCAGTCCCAAAGGTTAAAAAACTAGGTTCTAAGAATGCATGCATGGAGGAGACCACCAGAGCCCCAATGGCAGTGCTTGGAGGTCTCTAGGGGTATACTAACCATGCTCAGAGGTGGCAAATTTGGTGTGAAAATGTACTAAACCTATACTAATCTAACTGCATCTAACCTTCATATTGTCTTCCCATGCATGCAACAAGTTTATTTTTCAGGGAAATTTAAAGCTACTTTCATATAATGATAAAAGATTAAAAAAAGTGTGAATAAAAGGTGAAATAAAAGGTTGAAAATTCAAGGGTATATTTATTTTTATGTGGGGAAGATCATGAAACTCAGAATCTAACAGAACACTAGTTAAAGGTGAAGATTTTGTTTGCTCTCCTGTAGATGACCCAAATGATGGTTACTAGGAGTTGGATATAATAAAAGTATTAAACACTGGAGAATACTTAGGTGAGCAGCTTTGAAGACATATGTTTATGAATTCCATCAAGCAAATGTCTCTGCAAAAATCTTTGATAAAATTAGAAGTAACATAAGGACACTGGTGGAAGCAATGTCATTGGGTACTTTGGTGGCTCTAGGGTGCAGTAACTTCATTCATCAAAAAATTAACATTGTATTATTGTAATCATGTTACTGTAATTAGATAAATTTTTTTAAAAAGAAAATAATTAATCAGATAAGGAGTAAATTAGCAAGATAAAAGAGCTTATGCACTATGTTAAAGCTTTTCAAAACAAGAATATATGATTTGAATCAGAAAATGCAAATATTTTCAAAATTTTCTTCAAAAAGAAAAAAATGCAAAGATTTTCAAAATATAAAGTTAACATGCCTGACAATAAACTAATGACTGAAACTTCAAGAAAAACAAAGGAAACCTTATAGGAAATTATTTGCTCAGGGGAGAAAAAGTGAAGAGTGGAGAATCC